CACAAAAAAGTTAGAGTGGCTATACTAACATCAGATGAAATATCATATTTTTATACAAATAATGTGTGTGTTATACATTTTTTTGCCAACCGCACAACCCCCTAGAGCATTATTTTCCTAGGCATGGTGTGTGTGTGTTTGTGGGGGGTATTATTTGCGAAAAACACGGTAGACTTGAAAACAAAAAATGAGCTAAGGAGAGATATTTTATAATGATAAAAAGGTCAACACATCAGGAAGATAAAACAATTATAAACATTTGTATCCAATAATAGAGCACCAAAATGAATGAGACAAAAAAATGACAGATATGAAGGGAGAAATAGACAACTCAAAGATAGTGGCTGAAGACTTCAATACCCCACTTTCAATAATGGATAGAACAATGAGGAAAAAAGATCAATAAAAACATGGAAACCTTCAAAAATACTTTAAACCACTTAGACCAAACATACATCTACTGAAGACGCCACTAAACAAGAGAATATACATTTTTCTCAAGTGTACATGGAACATGTTCCAGGACAGACCATACGCTAGGGCATAAAACAAACCTCAATAAACCTAAAGGGAAAGAAACTATAAAAAGCATGTTCCCAGCCAAAACTGAATGAAATAAGAGATCATTAACAGAAAAAAATTTGAGAAACTCACAAATATATGGAAATTAGATCACACACTCCTACTTCACAAATGGATGCAAGAAGAAATCAAAAATGAGTTTACAAAATAGTTTGAGATAAAATAAAATGAAGACATAACATACGAAACCTATGTAATGCAGATAAGCAGTGCTTAGAGAGAAATTCATAGCCTTAAATGCCAATATGAGGAAATAAAATGATCTCAAATCAACAATCTGACCCCCCACCTTAAGACACTGGAAAAAGAGCAAACTAAGCCTAAAGCAATCAGAAGGAAAGAAGTAATAAAATTTACGGTAGAGATTAATTTGTTCTCTTATTTCATTAATTTCCACTGTAAATTTTATTATTTCCTTCCTTCTGCTTGCTTGGGCTTAGTATGCTCTTCAGAAATGAAAAAGGGGACATTATTACCAACTTTACAAAAATAAAAGGATAAAGGAATACTATAAACAATTCTATGTCAATAAATTAAATAACTTAGATAAAGAGAACAAGTTCCTAAAAAGCCACAAATTATCGAACCTAAATCATGATGAAATAGATAATCTGAATGAACCTATAACAAGTAAAGACACTGAATTAGTAAGCAAAAAAGTACACACATAGAAAAGCACAGGCTGAAGTGAAATGAAGACTCCTGAATTCTAGCAAACTTTTAAGGAAGAATGAATGCTAATCCTTCTCAAACCTTTTTAAAAAATAGAAGAGGAGGGGAAACTTCCTAACTCATTCTATTAGGCCAGTATTATCCCAATACCAACGTCAGATAAAGACATCATAAGAAAAGAAAATAGACAGAATAATATCCGTTATAAATACAGATGCAAAAATCCTTGACAAAATACTAGCAAACCAAATCCAACAGCATATTAAAATTTATCCCAGGAATGCAAGGGTGGTTCAACATAAGAAAACCAATTAGTCTAACACACCACATTAATAGAATGAAGGAAAAGAACCAAATGATCATCTCAATTGATGCAGAAAAGGCAGTTGACAAAATCCAACACCCTTTCATAATAAAAACACTCAATAAACTAGGAAGAGAAGGGGAATTCTTCAACACGATAAAGGGCATCAACAACCTAAATATAAGAACTAAAACCATAAAACTCTTAGAAGAAAATCTTCATGAACTTTGATTTGGCAATGGATTCTTAGATATGACATCAAAAGCATGAACAACAAAAGAAAAAGATAAGCTGGAGTTCATCAAAATTGAAAAGTTTTGTGCATCAAAACACTTTGTCAAGAACGTGAAGAAACAACCTACAAATGGGAGAAAATACTTTGGAACCACAGATCCAATAAGGGTTTGATATCTAGAATATATAAACAATTCTTATAACTGAAAAAAAAAAGACACATGGGTAATTAATAAAAAAATTTTTTTTTAAATTTAAAAAAAAGACAAACTCAACTAAAAAATGGGCAAAGTACTTGAACAGACATTTCTCCAGAGAAGATATAAAAATGGTTAATAAGCACATGAAAAGATAATGTCATTAGTCATCAGATAAATTCAAATCAAAACCATAAAGGAATACCACTTCATACCCACTAGGATGGCTATTATCAGAAAAATAGAAAATAGTAAGTGTTGGCAAGGATGTGGAGAATTTGGAAATCTCGTGCATTGCTGGTAGGAATGTAAAATGGTGCAGCTGCTACAGAAAACAGTTTGGTGGTTCCTCATAAAGCTAAATATAGAATTACCTTATGACAGCAATTCCACTTCTATGTATATACACAAAAGATTTGAAAGCTAGAACTTTAACAGATGTGTGTACACCAATGTTCACTGCAGCGTTATTCAAAATAGTTAAAATGTGGAAACAATCCAAGTGTCCATTAATAGATGAATGAGTAAACAAAAAGTGATATATCCATACAATGGAATATTATTTAGCCATAAAGGGAAATAAAGTTCTGATACATGCTATGACATGATAAACCTTGAAAACATTATGCTGAGTGAAAAAAGTCAGGTACAAAAGGACAAATATTGTATGGTTCCACTTAAAAGAAACATCTTGAACAGGCAAATGTATAAAGACAAAAGTTACTAGAGACAAAAGTGGTTACCAGTAGCTGGGAGGAAGAAGAAATGAGGAGTTGTTGCTTAACAGGTACTGAGTTTCTGTTTGGGGTGTTGAAATACTTTGGGGAACAGATAATGGTGATGTTGCACAACATGGTGAATATAATTAATGTCACTGAATTTTACAAATTAAAATGGCAAAAATTTTGTTATATGTATTTTAACACAATAAAATTATTTTTAAAAAATCATATGGAATTTAAAGAGACACCAGATAGCTAAAATAATATTGAAGAAGAACAAAGTAGGAAGAGTCACATTTCTTGATTTCAAACTACTACAAAGCCATGGCAATCAAGACAGTATGATACTGGCATAGGCATATAGATCAATGGAGCAGATCTGAATGCCAGAAATAAAACCATACATCTATGGCCAACTGATTTTCAATAAGGGTGCCAAGTCCATTCAATAGGGAATGAATAGTCTCTTTAACAAATGGTGCTGGGACAACTACATATACCCATGCAAAGGAATAAAGTTGGATCTGTTCCTCACACATATATAAAAACTAAATCAAAACAGATCAGAGACCTAAATGTAAGAGCTGAAACTATAAAACTGTTTGAAGAAAACACAGATGTAAATCTTCAAAACCTCAGATTTGGCAATGGTTTCTTAGATATGAAAAGCACTTCTACAAAGATAAAATAGGTAAAATGTACTTCATCAAAATTAAAAACTACTGCACATCAAATGACACTAACAAGAAAGTGAAAGACAACCCACAGAAAGGGAGAAAATATTTGAAAATCATATATCTAGTATTCAAAATATATAAATAACTCTTACACTCAACAACAAAAAAAACAAGCCTACAAAAAATGGGTAAAGTGCTTAAACAGAAATTTCTCCAAAGCAGATATACAAATGGCCAATAAGCACATGAAAAGATGCTCAACATCATTAGTCACTAAACTAAAAAAAAACCCGTTGCCACTGAGTCTATTTTGACTCACAGCAACCCTACAGGACAGAGCAGAACTGCCCCATAAGGTTTTCTAGGCTGTAATCTTTACAGAAGCAGACTGCCACATCTTTCTCCCATGGAGTGGCTGGTGAGTTCGCACCGCTGACCTTTTGATTAGCAGCCGAGTGCTTAACTACTGTGTCACCAGGGCTCCTATAGAGTCCCTAGGTGAAGCAAATGATTTACACTCGACTATTAATCTAAAGGTGGCAGCTCGAACTCACCCAGCAGTACCTGGTGATCTGCTTCCATTAAGACTACAGCCGAGAAAACGCTATGGAGAAGTTCTACTCTGTAACACAAGGGATTGCTATGAGTCGGAACTGACCCTATGGCAACTAGCAACAACATACAGTGGAATATTAACACAAAAAAACCAAACCTCTGCCACTGAGTCAATTCTGACTCATAGGGACGCTATATGGCAGAGTAGAACTGCCCCATAGGGTTTCCAAGAAGCGGCTGGTAGATTTGAACTGCTGAGCTTTTGGTTAGCAGTCTAAGCTCTACTACTAAGTCATAAAAAGAAATGAAGTACTGATACATGTTACAACATGGATGAACTTTGGAAACATACTAAGTGAAAGAAGCCAGTCACAAAAGACCACATATTATATGATTCCATTTATATAAATGGTCCAGAATAGGACAATCTATAGGAACAGGAAGTCTATTGGTGGTTGCTTAGGGCTGGGGGTCATGAGGGTATAAGATGATAGCTAACGGGTATGGGGTTTTTTGTGTATGTGGTGATTAAAAGTTCTAAAATTGACTGTGGGGATGGTTGCACATACTTGTGAATGTACTAAAAAATCACTGAATTGTACACTTTAAATGGGTAAAATGTATACTGTGAGAATTATATCTCAAAAAAGCTGTTTCAAAAAAAAAACAAAAACTTTTAATTTATGCTACAATTTTAACAACAAACACCATATGTATGTGGATAAGGACAAGAAGAAAATTCAGATAAAACTGATACAGTAAAACCTACAAAGGTCGGAATCTGTATAAGTCGGAAGCCTGTCAGAGAAGGAAAACCCGAGTATTTCCACAAAAACGAGAGATAGAAAAGTCGAAAACTGCACCCTATTAAAGGTAGAAAACTTGCAAGGCCCAGAAAAACAAGGCAGTCCCATCGAGTTCTAGCTTTCACAGGTTTCACCGTACATTAAAATGGTGGGACTGTGAGTAGTTTTGTTTCCTTTATTGTTAAAATGTTTGTCCAATATGTTTCAATGACTTTAAACAAAAGTACAATATAGAAATTTTTTTAACTCACCTTTATATATAAGAGGTTTATCTTTATCTTCTGTCTTCTCTCTACTAGCCAATTCAAGAAAATCTTCAATCAAGTCCAGAGATATGAGAGACTGGCTGAAAACGAGGCTAAAAAAACAGATTTGTGTTCATGGATTAGAAGATTCACATAGTAAAGATAGCACTATTTCTCAAATTGATATACAAACTTAACACAATTCTAATAAAAATCCCAGCAGCATTTCTTGTAGAAATTAACACGTTGATTCTAAAATTCATGCGGAATGCAAAGGACACTGCATAGCCAAAACAATTTTCAAAAACAAAGTTGGAAGACTAAAACGACATGATTTCAACATATATAAAGGTAATCTAGACAGTGTGGTACTGGCGAAGGGACAGACACAGAGATCAATTAAACAGAATAGCATCCAAATACAGATTCACACATAGTGGATAATTAATTTTTGAGAAAGGTGCAAAGGCAAGTCAATGGAGAAAGGATAGTTTTTTTGACAAATAGTCTTGGCAAAACTGGACATCCATGTGCAAAGAAATAAACCTGGAGCTAAACCTCACACTTCATATAAAAATGGATTACATAACTTTTAGAAGAAGATATAAAAGAAAATCTTCATATACTGGGGTTAGGCAAACTTTAGATATGATACCGAAAGTACAATTTGTGAAATAAAAAAATTGATTGGACTTTATCAAAATTAAAATCTTTTGCTCTGCCAAAGACAAAGTTAAAAAAAAATCTTCCTACTTAAAGTATTTCAGTATTATTCAATTAGACACATTCTATGACCATTTTTTATTCAATTTCAAGCACGTACACAAATTCCTGATTCTCTAACCCAGTAGTATTCTAACTCCTTTTTAGCCATGAAAACTATTTGTTCACACGTCTTATGTGGAAGTTAAAATGTATAATAAAGGCAAGCTGTCTCAGGCACTGGAGGAAAAACAAGGAGAAGTGTTGCTGGCGCCTCCATCACCCTCTATCCATGTCACCAACTTGCAGGTGCTCTGAGAAGCTGTTTGAAACCCACTGCTCTGCTCTATTCCATTGATGAGTGGACATAATTACACACAGGAATGAAAAACCTACATAAAAATCTTATAAAAGACAATGCGGGAGGGCTCATCCTCTCCCTTATTATGAAAGCAAAGTTAGTCCGTACACAAGGGACTAGATACCTATGGGAAACATGCTTTTTTTGGTTTTGTTTTGGTTCTGAAAGCTGCACAATAGGAGAAGGAGGTACTTATGACTCCAGAAGACCCTTCAAGCTATGAAATAGCTGTTGGAGTTCACCACATATGCATTTTCTATTATATAATTTCCTGAGCTCTGCACTGTTGGAGACTACTGTCTCCCAGTCGCCTACTCCTAGAATACTAGTAAGAAAATGAATTGACTTCTAGTGCTCAGTTTAAATGACCAAGGTCTAAGCCTTGATCCCTCAGTAGTTTGATTATCCTTCCTAGAATCAAAAACTTCACTGAACTAATACTTAAATACAAATTAAGTTTTTGATAGTTTATGTACCTGGAATATTCAAAATCTTAACAGTACTAATTGTTTAACTGGAATCAATCTGGAATTTGGCCTACTATTTTGGAAAAAGATTGACCTCAGTCAGTTAACAATTAAGATTCTAGGAACCACTGAGTTGAGATAAGTCTCACTGTGAAAAAGGTAAAGAGTAATTAGGACTATGTGGCTATACAGTAATTGTCTCTGATAACCCTTTCTAGTTGCAGATAACATGGAGAACTATTGCCCTGACTGATAATTTCCAGATTTGTATACCATTATTTTTGTTTTACCTATTTTATTAATGACTCAGATGAAAATATAAAAGCAATACATATCAAATTCACATAAAAAGCTGAGAAGGAAGTTACAATCAAAATTTAATATTTAAATGATAGAAAACAAATAAATCAGAAGGGCTGGGCTGAAACTGGTGTTGTGCTGGAGTAGACTCTAACTAGCTTAACTCAGCAGAGCAGACTGTTATCATCTCTTCCCAACCCTGCCTTTAGTGATGTCATGTTGGTAACCTGAAACTGGTATTTATACCATGGAGAGGAACTAGGAAGAAAGGCCTGGTGATCTACTTCTGAAAATCAACCAATGAAAACCCTATGGATCACAACAGCCCAATCCATCACTGATCACGGGAGTGGCACAGGACTGCCCAGCATTTCATTCCATTGTACACAGGGTCATCAAGAGTCGAGGACTGACTTGACAGCAGCTAACAAGAGTAGAGGTATATTAAAAGGTGACATGGGAATATAAAACAGGGTTTGCCTCTTTCTAGGAGAGTTAGGGGTAAGTATGAACAGTAATTTGAAGGATGAGACTGGGAATAGGGATATATGGAAGGGAATAGGCACAAATGGTAGAAGCAAAACAAACAGGAACAAAAAACAAAAGGAAATGTTTTTGGTACAGAGAATAGTCAAGCAAGTAAAGACTGAGGGGTGTCCACTAGATTTGGGAATTAGAAGGTCATTAGTGACGTTAGGGAACCCTGGTGACGCAGTGGTTAACAGCTATGGCTGCTAACCAAAAGGTCAGCAGTTCAAATCCACCAGGTGCTCCTTGGAAACCCTATGGGGCAGTTTCTACTCGATGGCAATGGGTTTGGTTTTGTTTTTGGTTTAGTGATGTTAAGGGAAGGAATTTCAATAAAGTGACAGGATAGAAACAACACTGAATGGATTGAAAAATGATCAGGAAGATGGGGAAATATAGATATCAGTTAGAAGCTTGGGTCAAGGAAATAATTCATTCAAGGTGCAATAACTAGAAAGGGAAAATAGTACTGAAGAAATAACCTGAATATGTAGTTTGAACTAGTGGTTTAGAAGAAAGACAGTTGTTTGTATTGGCCTATGCCTACATTAACCAAAGAAATTACATCATTAAAAAGGAAGAAAACAATTGTTTAAACAACAGAAAGGTTACTGAAAGGTTCAGTTATATAATAAAAATAGGAAGGAGCTTACACTTTATCCCCAATTTCCTCTGCCATTCGAAGAATTTCAAAGAGAAGTACCATTTTTCCAGAATGCTCTAAGACCTCAGCATCAGCATCTGTAACAAAATCTTTGTACCAATCTGGAGCTGGGCTGCTTGGATTAGAAGAGGAAGTAGCTTTACCTAAATAAAATAAATAAAACAACTAAGTAGGTAAATAAGAAAAGAAACTGAAAGACCCCGAGAGAGCAGGACTGAGAGAGGGGCCAAGAGAGATAGAAATAGACCAATCAAGGGAAACAGTGAGAAACCCCTGGGGATAGATAGGTAGGGGGTGTGGTATGTATATGTGCACACACACACAAACATAAATAGTAGGACAGAAAGAGACCCCAGGAGGGAAGTAAGGGAGGGAAGAAGAAAGGGCGAGAAACAAAAGAAGAAGGAAGGAAGGAAGGGAGAGGAGGAAGGGAGAGGAGGGAGGAACAGAGACAGACAGACACTGACTCAGAGATCAAGAGATAAACGACCACCCTGGGGGCAGGAAACATTTCACTGTAAATGCTACAATTCTGGAAAACTCAAAGAAATGATCCCAGGATCACCATGTCATGTTAAATCATTTTCTTCTTATTTTTCCCACAAACTTTTACGATAAAAGGTATAAGAAGAAAGTAACACAAAATAAAGGATCTAAACATAAATAGAATCAAAATAAGTAACATACTTAATATACTTAAGTTTAACCAGTTCATGTACCTTCTCTCAATTGCTTTTTAATGTAAAGAATTTTACATTTTAATACATTTTTATTATAAAATATTTTAAGTATTCAGAAAAATATATAGAACATAATGAACAGCCATGCTCCCACCCATCTTCACCAAATTTTAACAGTTAAATCTGCTTCTGATGAGGTTGAAGCCTAATATGTGTCCCTAACCAATTCCAGTCTCCCTTCCCTTTCTCCTTTCCTACTAGAGGTAATTAACTCCCTAAATTCTGTATTTACCATTTGTATGCATCTTTTAACATTTTTATTATGTGTACCCCTAAACTGCATATTATTTTTGCATGTTTTTAAACTAAATGTAAATGGTATCATACTGTTTTGTATAATTCTGCAACTTACTTTTTCACTCAATGTAGTTTTTTACTCAAAGTGAGACTTTATTCATGTTGCTTCACGGAGCTCTTGTTCACTCTTTTTAACAACCATGTAGTATTCCACTGTATGAGTACTTCATCATTTATTAGCTCTCCTGTTCATTGACATTTAGATTGTTTCTTTTTGCTACTAAGAAATATGCTGCAATCAACACTCAATGTTAAGTTATATTTTTCTTACAATATTGCACCATTCATGTAAGTTTAAAATTCTCTTGCATAAAGTTATGCTTATAATTTTTGAAATATCACTTTAAGCATACTTATTTTACAGTCTTTATCCAATAGTTCTATTATCTGAGGTTCTTGAGAATCGAATGCTATTTGTTTTGTCTGCTAACTTTCCTCAAGATGATTGTTAATTTTTTTTCTTGCTTCTTTTTCCTATGGTTAATTGTTTCCTCAGGCATTTTATAATTTTTTTATAATCATTTCATCTCCGGTGTAGCTGTTTAACCTGTGAGAATCCTGGGTTGAGGTCATATATCTCCAGGGTGGTATGGCCCAGGCTGGGAGGGCATGGTTCTGCATTTGCTTCTCTCCAGTGCTCTGGGGAATCACCAAACCAGAATTACTTTTGAAGTTTTCAGTATTATTTGAGTATTTCAGCTTGAGATGTGTAGATTATATGAGAAATGCAAATTCAAACCATAAACTGTATGAAGGCAAGTCATGATTATGAATTAAAGGAAACTTTCCCCCCAACCCAGAGCCCAGGCCGAAACAGATAAGCTTCCTTGTCATCTCCCTGTATGGATGGGCAGGTTTTCTTTTTCTTTCTTCTATACTTCCATGGAATACGTACTCTTTAAAGGGTTTCAGTTTTAAGAAGGGGTCAAAGAACTTTCCACCTTATAGTGGCCTCAAAGCCTTGTATCTTGTCCTTGGGTAGGTGACAACCAAAGCTGCTAGTCTCTAGACTGGCATATTGTAATGATATTAGCCAGCCTCCATCTTAGATGATGCCTCGGCATCCAGGCTGAGCCCTTTTCTCACTCTGTTAGCTGGTGCACCACACCCCGCTGCAGATAGTTGCCCCGGATAACCATGCTACCGAAAACATCCAAATTTTCTGCTCTTCAGCTCCCCACAGCTGTCCCACTTAGATAATTTCCATAGCCATTCTCCCTTGTTTCCCATGCTTTAGTTTCAAAAAGACCAATGGTCTTGTATCCCACGAAAATCCCTTCATTCCTGCCTCAGACCCTAATAAAGTCCATGCCTCAGGTCTGCTCTCTCTCTCCCTCCGTCTGCAACCTCCCCATTTGTGCAGTGGCTTATGGGTGTGCCCTGTACCCCCAGGACCTTGAGTAATAAAGTTCTTTATTTCCATTTTTGTGTCTTGTAGTTGAACGGTAACTTTCCATCCAGGACAATATACATAACCTGGGCTAGGGGGAATTGCTTCTTGTCTCCTCCCCTTCTGGGGTTACAGCTGAGATAAAATCACACCCAGGACACTTACCCTTCCTTGGGTTTCCACAGTATACTTCTTGAACTCACTGCTTATGTTATCGGTTCCCTTCTTTGTGTCTGACTCCTATTGATTACCATTACTTTTAGAGAGCTCATGATGCATTTATATTCAAACCACAATGAACACAGGCTAATCATGCCATGTACTTGCAAGATTCCACACCTTTCCCTATGCTTCGAGTGTCTTTTATGATTTTCTCCCCCTCTTTGCCTGACAAACTTCTATTCAGACTTTAGCACTCTGTAAGACCCAACTCAAATTTCATCTTCTCAAAAAAGCCTCCCTGCAATGTTGGCCTTTGGCTGGTATCTAGGAATTTGAATGGTAAATAGTTTTCTACATTGATATAAAACTTTTCCTAACTGATAAGAGTAGCTCACTGTGCCCAGACTGCTGGTACAATGTGGTTTATACTGAATACTTGATTCCTGCTGGGAGTCTGGAATTTGGTATGTGCTAGCAGATACTGCCTATGTAACCAGCCCCAATAAAAACCTTGGAAACTGAGTCTCTGATGAGTTTCTCTGGTAGACAATACTTCATATATATCATCACAACTCACTGCTGCAGGAATTAAGTGTGTCCTGTGTGGCTCCACTGGGAGAGGACTCTTGGAAGGTTGTACCAGGTTTTCTCTAGACTTTGCTCCATGTGTCTTTTCCCTTTGCTGATTTTGCTTTGTATCCTTTCATACATGGTGAGTGCTGTGAGTCTTTCTAGGGAATCACCAAACCTGTGGGTGGATCTTGGGGACTGCAGACACATAGCCCATCAAGCAAATGTTGACTCAATTCCTTTTACAATCAGTCAGCTAGCAAACAACTAAGAGTGCCTTTGAGGAATTCTACAGTTCCACAGACGACACATAATTTCAGCTATGGTTACCAAAATTTACTAAATGTAATATATCTAAGGTGAAAATTTCAGAAATAAAACAATGCTGGCAGAAAGTTGGTAAAAATGTGACAGCTAGATAAGTCTCAAAGCTTATGACAGGTGACAATTTATGTGCAAATCCAACAGATTTCATTCTAATTTTGATCCTACTGGATACAAACACAATACCTAACACAGTTTTGTCTAGAAAAGTAGAAAGTGATCCAGAGAAATATAGGCTACTCCAAATAATAAGCACCCTAAGTATGTAATTAAAACTTAAAAACAGACATTTTATGCTGAATATTCTTATTTCATCCTCTACATGGATCAATCATGACTTATGTTATAATTTTATGCTGTGAACATACATATGACAAGTAACTGGCTGGTTAATCACAGCCATTCCTAATATCAATTCTGGATATCAAAAGATTCTGAGAATCTTTGGCTAGGTATATTTTCACCAAAAAAAAAAAGGTCGAGAAGGGAGAGGGTTGACATGTTGTGGGGTTGTTAACCAATGTCATAAAACAATCTGTGTACTACTTTTTCATTGAGAAACTATTTGTTCTGTAAGCCTTCACCTGAAGTACAATAAAAAAAAAAAGATTCTGAGAAAGTAAACCACAAATGGGAAACAAAACAAACAGAAAGAAAGCTATACCATCATCCCTAATTTCTTAAAGCATTCTAAATATATATTTTAAATAAAAGGTCCTTTAACTATTACATTTGGAAGATACACTACAGATTTTAAAAAGAAAAATAGTATCTCATTAAAATACTATGTGTATGTGTTGTAGTAGTAGTATTAACAGCACATACTAAGTACTCAACAAATACTCGTTGAATGAATAAATGTGATGCGTAGTGATAATATTATGGCCCTACATCATATGCAAGGATTCTGTTGCAAAGTTTATAACATACAATAAATCATATGCATTTTAAAATGTAAAATGCTCACCAAGGAAGCCTAGTCTAAAAATACTGAAGTAATAATAAATCTAACACATGGAGGTAATTTATATAGTTAATTCCACATAACAAAATTCTTTCTAATAAAAGGCTAAAATCCAGAAATGGAGATACTGTAAGGTAAATGTAAATGACTTATTCAAGATTCTTCTTCTCAGAAAAATCAGAAAGCTACTGCAAAAGAATTAAAAAAAAAACACAACTCTTTGAAATGAAAATGAATTATGCAACAAAAATCAAATTATAGCCATCTACTTATTTAATATCTGTTTCAAATTCCTGGTGCCACATTTTGGACCTTTAATAAGTCCTATTCAGGTTTTCTTACATTTCCTATAAGAAAGTGATTTTTTTCAAAAAAGCTCCACAGTACCAGTTATATGTATTCATATACTATGATGTATTCAGTCTTATATGGACTTAATTTACATCAAAGAACAAAAATAGATTTTCACCATCTATTAGTTCTTGAAAATGTTCCTGATAAACTATACATGTACACAGCTGTAAAAAATATAAAATACATTTTACTTGATTGCACACAACTAAAATGGAACAAAGACCCTAGGCAAGTAGTTCAAGTTTATCTTTTGGAAGCCCAACCTCCCCTGTCTACTTTTAGGCTCACAACATGTATCATCCTATTCTCTGTCCCTCCTACTCTCTGTATACATCCTATATATATAAATTTTATTATGGCATATATGGAAAGTGATAATACTTATATTGTACACCAGGAAAAATGGAAGAGTTTACCCATTTCTGGAGATGATCCAGTTGCCTCAGATCCCACCTGGTCTTCCTCAGCACACTTTTATGTAACCCATTTATAACACAGACTGTGGCATACTGGTTGATCTATTCTTTCTCCCTTTAGCCACAAATTACAAGAAAAAAATTTCAACAAGAATATTTGAAGGAATGTGTAAACTTTAAGCTATTTATTTCTCAATTATCAGATGAGATACATCATATTCTATGAGGAATTTTAAGTGAAAAGGGCAGAATGGAGGGCCAGGGGAGGAGATAACAGGAGTTTTCCATTACCTTAAATTATAACCAATTCTTGAGTATTCTTATAAAAAATATTCTTTAACTCTAAAGAACTGGAAGATTGAACACAGACAGTAAACTATCTGTATAGGGTGGCAGGAAAGAGGAATAAAAAGGAAAATTTTGAAGTTTCATTTTTACTATTTCCCTGATTTCTTAGAGAAATAAAGCCAGGGCCTGAGGCCAGCCCAGCTTGTTTGAGCACAGAATCATTCACTTAGCTGACACCCTACATCTCTCTTCTCTTTCGCAGACAAAGGTTTTAGCAGCTTTGCTCCAGGACTCCCAAATGTTAAATATTTAGAGTCATTACACTATTCTCTCTTACACTCTGTGTTAATTCTACAGGCTCCAGTATCCTATACCATATCTTTACTTTGTAACATTCAGATATTTGGTCCTGGTTTTGAGCTTCTAGACACCCAGTCACGTTGCATTAGAAGGATATGGGGCCTCAACACTAATCTTTCAAATGTACATATGGGTAAAAACAATTTAAGTCATTGGAAAGCTCAATCTGAGACTTCTATTGTGTGTACACTGATGCAAAAAGAAAAAAAAAGTGAAAGAGGTGATACAAACTATACATGATGGGGGAACTATAAAGTAGATAATAATTATGGATTATGAAGAATTACAAAGGAAAAAGACAAAACCACTAAAATTAGTTTCACTGTATAAAATTAACTACAATTATACTCAAACTTCTTTCAGTTTCTCCCATGTAGTTAGTGAAAAATATCACAGTGGCTTTGAGATAGGACAAATCAAAGGCTGAATCCCAGTTCTACCTTTCACTAACTGTGATTTTGGGTTTCAATCTCCTAGTTTATAAAAACAAAGATATCAACAACATTGCAAGGCTGCTTCAAGAATTAAGTTAGCTAACACATGGAATGAAAATAATACAGAGTTTAGGTATATACATGTAAATAAATGGTACTTTTTCTATTTACTTTTCCTCCTAAAATACCAGAGAGAGCACAATGTTTTGCTTATAACTAAATATTCATCAGATATTTGTAGTAATTATGTGTACCTGATTATCCTAGACTCTTACCAGTTGCGGGAAAGAAATTTCTTTAAGCCAACTAGTGAGGATAATAAATGACTGACAGAAAAACCACTAATGACATGACACTTCCTAAACCAATGTTCCATGACAAAGGCAACATTCATTAGACTCACTTTCTTCCAGCTTTAAAGAAACTGAGGGGTTGTTCCCTGTTTCATCCACATTTCCTTCACCACCTCCTCGAGATCTTGAATTCCAGACTTTAATCACTTCAACATCATTGTCACTGCCACTTCCACTTGAACTACTATCTTTTTTCCCCTTTTTCCCCTTTGTTTTCTTCTTTCTAAAAAAAGAACAAATTCAGACTTTTATAAAAGCACAGGAAATATACAACTGCCAATTACAAAGAGGACAATCAGCGAGTAAGGATTTTAAATGTGTCAACACAGGCCACAAAATTTATTCAATTTACTTCGTATAATCATCGGAGCTTAAACTCATGGAGGTTTCATCAGAATCTGAAGCTATGAATTCATCCATACTGTCTTCATCAAAATAGCCCTAGAGGAAAAAAAAAAGAATGTTTCAATAATTTACTTCAACTTATATTGGAAACTCAATTTATTTCAAATTGAATTTATATTCAATTTATTTAAACTTATATTGGTAATTATAATGACGTCTGTTTATTTCATTTAAAAATAAGTTAACGGCCATGAGATAAGGAAGGACTAAGGAACTATCATAGAAAGAAGACGTGACAGATACGACTACTAAATTCAATGTGAGATTCTGGATTGGATCATGGAACAGAAAAAGGACATTACTAGAAAAACTAGTGAAATCCAAATAAAGGCTGTCGTTCATTGTATTGTAAAAATGTTAATTTCTTAGTTTGGATAATTTTATTACAGTTATGCAAGATGTTAACATTAGAAGAATCTGAGTGAGGACTATATGGGAACTCTGAACTATTTTCACAACTTTTCTAAAAGTCTAAAATTATTTCAAAATAAAAAGGTAAAAAAAACCTAATAGGCTCAATAAAAGATTAATATTTAACATTTCTTTCATAATCATAATGCATTTAGACAAATAGAAATTAATTAGAAATAAAACAGGATGGATAACTGTACCACAAAACAAAAGAAAATCTGAATATACTGAAAGCCTATACAGCTCAACCTTTATACAATGGTTATTCGGCTTCTAACAGTAACTTTTAATCAACTTTAGGTTACCCGATTTACCTTATTTTCTTTGCTAATGTAGTCTAGCTGCAAACACCAAGGATGAGTCCAGATTCTACTTAACATCTGAAAATCTTGAAAAAGTTTTGCACCTGCCTTTCCTCTTCCACCTTCGCTGCTATTACCTACACCTGATGAAAAGAAAATACAAGTTAAAGACATAAGAATTCTCTGTTTATCAAGTGTTTCTAGATTAGGGTTTTTAATCTAATCTGAAACCACACAAAAGAGGAGAGGCTAATTAGTTGGCTAAAATAAAGAGATCCATAGAAAAATATTTATTTTTCTACTCAAAAGAGCATCTAGAATATTTACTAAATCATTTTATCTATAATTTACTGATCATGATAATGAACCATGGGCTATATAGATATAATAATTTTTATGCAGGGGTTGCTTAAGTACTGAAAATTATTTAAAGCTTTCCTCCAGCTAAATGACTGAAAAGGGTTGATCAGAGAACAATGAGGGTGGGTTGACCACTAAGAACTTGGAAACACCTAGGATTTTCACATCCAGTTCATCACAAGTTCTTCCTTAAAGAAATAATTCATTTGTAACATTTGAAAGATCAGATTTTCTATCCTCTAACACTCCTTTAGAGTTAACTTTTAGGAATCAAGGACACTTTTGAGTATAACAAAGGCTTTGGAAAGCCTGAAGATCCACACCATCATACTCCTACCAGAGGTAGCCAGGGAAATTTGACACATGATGAACAATAAATACGAAAAGAGTATCTTATTGATATTAGTTTTTCCATTGCTGCAGTACATCAGTGCAGGTCCAGTAAGGCTAACTTTGAGCTAAAAAAAACCTGTTGCATCGAGTCAATTGTGACTCATAGCGATCCTACAGGACAGAGTAGAACTGTCCCATAGTGTTTCCAAGGAGCGGTTGGTGGATTTGAACCGCCGACCTTTTGGTTAGCAGCCAAGCTCTTAAACGCTGCATCACCTGGGCCCCGACTTTGAGCTAGTGGCTTAGATATAATAACTAAGCATATGTTGTTACCTCTGTTCAAGTCTAAATCTTTTAATCATATGACTTCTAAGTAGCCACAAAGTACAGGAATATCATATAAAAACTACCACCCTTGAATTGTGGTGGAAAGACTGACAAAACTGGTAACATTATCTGGGATATGCTTATTTTTGTAGGCAGAAAGAAGAAGACAGCAAAGGAATAAGACTATCAGTACCACAGAGACCCCAGCTCATATCACCACCATCAGCCCAAATTCCTCCTAACTTAAGAGTTTAAAAATGTTCAAGCAAAAACTGTAATTTAGAGGAAACCAGACTAAAAATGTCCCCAGGCCACTAGCAGAACCAAACTCATTGCCATCGATTCCAACTCATAGTGACCCTATAAGACAGAGCAGAACTGCCCCATAGGGTTTCCAAGACTGTAAATCTTTAGGGAAGCAGACTGCCACATCTTTCTCCTGCAGAGGGGTTGGTAGGTTCGAACCACTGGCCAGCCTTTCGATTAGCAGCTGAGTGCTTTAACCACTGCACCACCAGGGCTCCTGCCACTAGCAGAAGCAACTGCAAATTCTTTCTGGAGTAACCACTCTTTACTCTAGGTCTCAAAGTCGTCCCACATATAATACTCCAAGGGATATTTGAAACTTCTGGCCAAAGTACTTAAATGCACAGGGAAACAATGCACCATGACTGAAACCCAAGATAAATAATACAGAGCAGAAACAGATATACAAGGCCTTCAGATCCTGGAGTGATCAGACACACACTATAATTGTTTACTATGTTCAAATAAACAACAGAAAAATGTGAAATAACATTGAGGACACTGGAAACCACAAAGGATATACATTTATCTGAAAAATAATCAAACAGAAGTTCTAATATAAAACTGAAGTAGGCCACTTAGTATTATTAAGATACATTTCACGTACTATAATTCACTCCGAGTGTACAATTCAATGGCTGTTAGTGTACTCAGAGTTGTGCAACTGTCACCATAAACCAATTTTCGAAAATTTTCATCTCCTCAAAAAGAAACCTCACAACCCTCAACTGATATCCCTCAGTTTCCCCATCACCCCAGCCTTAGGAAACCACTAATCTTCTTTTCTGTCAATATAGATTTGTCTATCGTATTCATAAAAATAGAATCCTACAATATGTGGTTATTTTTGACTGCCTTCTTTCACTTACCATAATAATTTCACAGTTCATCCATGTTATAGCATGTATCAGTACTTCATGCTGAACAATATTCCATTAAATGTATATACCATATTTTATTTATCCATTTATCCAATGACAGGTATTTGGACTGTTTCCACCACTTAGCTATTATGCATAATGCTGTTATGAACATCTGTACAGAAGTTTCTGTGTGGACATATGTCTTCATTTCATTTGGGAATATATCTAGGACTGCAATTGCTGGGTCATATGGTAACTACAACTTTCTGAGGATCTGCTAAACTTTTTTCATCAGCAACTGTACTATTTTACATTCCCACCAGCTGTGTATGAGAGTTCCAATTTATATTAACCAAAGCTATCCCTTTGATTATAGCCTTCCTACTGGGTGTGAACTGGTATCTCATTTGGGTTCTGACTTGTACTTCTATGATGGCTAAGGACACTGAACATCATTTCATGTGCTTATTGGACATTTGTATATCTTTTTTGAAGAAATGTCTATTCCATTCCTTTGCTCATTTTTTAAACAGGGTTCTTTGTCCTTCATATTGAGTTCTAAGATTTTTTTACATGCTCTATATACAAGTCCTTTATGATATATGATTTACAAATACTTTCATTCTTTTGGTTATCTTTTTCACTCTCTTCATAGTGTCCTTTCATGTACAAGTTTTATTATTTTCATGAAGTCCAACTTACCTGTTCTCTTTTCCTGCTTTGCAATTAGTGTCAAATCTAAGAGTCCATTCTTTAATTCAAGGTCATAAAGATCTACACCTATGACTGTGTCTAAGAATTTCATAATTTTAGCTATTACATTTAGGTCTTTAATTCATTGAATTTATTTTTGTATATGGTATGAGGCAGGGATCCAACTACTTTGGTTTTTGTTTGCTTTTTCTGCAGGTGTACATCTAGTTTTCTCTCAGCACTATTTGTTGAAAAGACTATTCTTTCTGCATGAATTGCCTTGGCAAACCTGTAGAAAATAAAATGACCAAAAAAAAGAAAAAGAAAAAACCTGTTGCCGCCGAGTCGATTCTGACTCATAGTGACCTTACAAGACAGAGGAGAACTGCCACAAAGGGTTTCCAAGGAAGGGATGGTGGATTTGAACCGCCGACCTTTTGGTTGGCAGCCGTAGCTCTAAACCACTGCGTTACCAGGGCTCCAAAAAAGTAAGAATATATTTCTAGCCACTAAATATTATTCAATTGATCTACATGTATACTGTTATGCCAGTATCCCAGTGTCTTCATCATGACAGACTTTAAAGTTTGAAATTGGGAAGCGAGAGTCCAACAACTTTTTTTATCAAGACTGTTTAGACAATTCCAGGTCCCTTGACTTCTTCCATATGAATTGCAGGATCAGCTTGCCAATTTCTGAAAAGAAGCCAGCTGGGAATTTCTTACGACTTATGCTGAATTTATAGAACAATTTGGAGAGTACTGTCATCTTAAAAATACTATATCTTCTGATCCATGAACATGGGACGACTTTCTATTTTTTCAGGTCATCTTTAAAGTAATGTTTTATACTTTCCAAATAAAACTTTTGTACATCCTTTGTTAAATTTATTCCTAAGTATTTTATATTTTTGATATTATTGCAAATGGAGTTATTTTCTTAAACTTATTTTTGGATTGTTCATCACAAGTGTATAGAAATACAATAAATATTTGTATATTAATAATTGTATCCTGAAACCTTACTGAACTTGTTAGTTCCAAACAGTCTTTTAAATGTACTCCTTAGAATTTTCTATATACGAATTCATATCATCAGCAAAGAGAGAGTTTTACTTTTTCATTTCCAATCTGGAAGATTTCTATGTCATTTTCTTGCCTCACTGTCCAGGCCAGAACCTCCAGTAAAGGGTGAATAGAAGTGACAAGAGCCTTGTAGTTTTCTTCATCTTATGCGGAAGCCACTGAGTTTTAAATTTCAATTAACAGAATAATACACAAATCTGAGAAGAGAAAAACTATTGAGTTGGAAGTTATACGAAAAAATATCAACAAAATACAAGACTAGAACACAGGATAGAACAAACAGATATTAACCGAGATAGGGAAGTCACAAAAATAAATCAAAGTTAAAACCATGAAATATGGAAACAGAGATGTCAATATGTAAAAGATGACAACATTAAAACAAAATAGAGGGACTACAAAATGTGGACATATATTTTTCAAATGGAGAGGAAGTCAAGGCGATATAAAGAAATAAAAGACTGGTTTAAACTTAGAAAAACGGGTAAATATTAAGGTAACCACAAAGGAAACTAACAATCCTACATGTCAAAATAAAAAAAAAACAAAAATACAGTATCAACAACAATGAAAAAAATTAAAAGAAAATACATGAAGAAAATAATTCAGGACAGAAAATTAAGTGGAATAAAGAAACTGTCAACAACAAAAAAAACAGACATCAAAATGACAGCATTAAACTAATACCTATCAGTAATTACGCTGAATGTAAATGGACTAAATGCACCAATACAGAGACAGAGAGGGGCAGATTGGATTAAAAAACACGATCCAACTATATGCTGCCTACAAGAGACAAATCTTAGACTTAAACACACAAACAAACTAAAACTCAAAGGACAGAAAAAATACATCAAGCAAACAACACTCGAAAAAGAGCAGGAGTGGCAATATTAATCTCTGACAAAATAGACTTTAAAGTAAAATCCTCCATAAAGGATAAGGAAGGACACTATATAATGATTAGAGGGTCAATACACCAGGAAGACATAACTATAATAAATATTTAGGCACTCAACGAGAGGCCTCCAAAATACATAAAACAAACTCTAACAGCATTGAAAAGAGAGAGACAGCTCCACAATATTAGTAGGAGATTTCAACACACCAATTTTGGTGAAGGACAGAACATCCAGAAAGAAGCTCAACAAAGAAACGGGAGATCTAAATACTACA